ATTTCCACGAGGAGCGTGAAATATAAAGTTAACTACTTACAAAAAATAAAGAAATATGAATTAAAAAACTTAAAATAAGACTAAATTGCAGGAAAGAGATCAAGAACTAATTGCTGCCGTAGCGAGCGAGCGAGCGTGAAACAAAGGAGCGAGGCAGCAAACCTAATCTTTATGTATATGTATATATGTATATATGTATATATATATATATATATATATATATATATATATATATATATATATATATATATATATATATATATATATATATATATATATGTTATATATATATATATATATATATATATATATATATATATATATATATATATATATATATATATATATATATATATATATATATATATATATATATATATATATATATATATAGGCTATATACATCCTCCATTAAGTTTTGACTTGCATATGCCAAAACTTGTCTGAGAAATAGTTCTGGAACCGAAGATACTAACAGGTGCATACTTTCTTTCGTTTCGAGTACTGTGCTATTTTAGGACATATGACGTTTCTCGTGGAAAAAATCGATATGTGTGCATGGCGAGGTTTGAATATAGTGACGGATGTATAAACGATTTTCTTCTTTGTTTATGACTGCATGAATATAATAAAAAGAACATTAATACAAGGCGGCTTGACATATGGATTTTATCCTCTCGATTATTGTTCTCACTATTACGAGATAAAATTCATACCGCTTTCGCGCCGTCGTTATGTCTTTTGTAGGCCGGAGTTATTTACTAGAGAGTTTGAGCAAGAGAACGAAGTAGGACGACCGACTACGACGAGTTGACAATTTTTGCCTGTCTTGCACATTATCTTACGCATTCTGAGTTTAGGGTCAGGGTGAAGACAGATTATATAGAGTCTTCGTTTCAAAACGAATATTTTGGCTGAAGACAGTATTCTTTGATTTCATGTGTGTACTCTTTATTGTCTAAGTAGGCCTACCGGTTCCGTACCTATTCAGAAAAGCTTTTAGTGGGGTTAATATAGGTTCTTTAATACTGATGATAATTTTAACAAATATTTATTCATCTCCTTGGTAACAGGAGAATCTTTTGCATGTTACGTAACATGCACTACTTTTCCACTTGGCCGGTATAACTATTTTAAATTTTTTTTAAATTTTTGATACGTTTCTCAAGCGGAAGACAAACTTTAAAAGTATGTTTACTGCTTTATATACAGCTTTTTCAATTAAGGTTGTCCCCGAGCAAAGCGGAAAAGTCGAATACGAGCGCGAAAGGCTGCTGGGAATCGCTAATAAATGAATGATTTATTAGCGATTATTTATTAGCGATTCCCAGCAACCTTTCGCGCTCGTATTCGACTTTTCCGCTTTGCTCTGGGGACAACCTTAATTGAAATAGCTGCAGCCTAGTCCCAGGCTCTCTCTCTATTCGCTGCTTTGCTATATTTAAATAAGTCTTAAAAGTTTTATGCCTGGGTGTGCTGTGCGGAACGCTTCAGCGAGAGAGCCTAGCAGATTTCGGTAAAATGGTCCCTGATTTCAAAAAAGTGGTCCCTGGCCTGGTTACCAAGCATATCGCATTTGTAAATAGAAAATGTTATGGAAATTTCCCTTGCGTTTATAATTAAGTCATTAGTTTTGCTCTAATGCTGTCGGAACAATGAAATAGGCTACGTTTCGCTACCATACGGTCAGAATGGAATAACGGGCTAAATGTGAGTCGTGCATGTTTACTAAACTATAAAGCCATATTAAATGCTATCTATAAGCTTTAAAATTATGCCGAGTCTACGACTAAAAATGTTTTGACAACACATAACACAGTCATGTCAGGCAAATATTTCCAATCTCCTCAGCTACTTAAACCTGTCAAGTAGAGCCGCGTAGTTGTGCATACCATGGTCTATAGTGTTGATCACAACTTGCGAGTACATAAATATCATCAACGATTATACGACCATTGCTCAGACTCAGTATCGTAAATTTATATATATATTTTTTTAATTGAGCACATTTTTAATACAGTTTGAATTTGGTTATGTAGACATCGAACATGATCAACGAACATTGTCGTATTTACAAGGTTATTTGTATATATAAATTTTCCGCCATATCAAAAATACTGAAATCTGCTAGGCGTTCTGAAGCACCTTTAGCGGTGACGTCACACCTAGGTCCCAGTCTCGTACTACATCCACGTTTTTCCTCGCGCTTGCTTCGGAACGACTGGCACTAGGCTGAAATAGCTGTATTTCTAGCGAAAATTATCCTAAAATGAAAATGAAAATTTTAGAAGGCACGCCAATTAAAGGGAAAATGATGTCTGAAGTTCAGTATAAGTTTCGCTTACTGCAGTGTTGTTGTATAAATATGCAGGCGTCAATTTTACAGCATCAAGTATAATTGTATTTAAATTGACAATATTTAGAACTATTATATATTGTATGTTTCTCAACCGTCAGATATTTTTGAAGAGGTTGCTAACTGTGTAAACGGCAAAATAAAGCTAAAACAAAGTAATTTTGAGAGGAACGCCAAGATTTTTATAGGTTTTGAACACTATTTATATCATGTTTGTGTGATGTTACTCTGAGCGTATATCCACAGCGGGCGAGCTTGAAAAATATGCTTGGCCACGGCGGGATTCGAACCTACGACCTTTGGAATACTAGCCCAATGCTCTTCCAGACTATTTATATCGCAAATATACGCGCGACATTGAAAATAATTGTCTCTTAAAACCTTATTGCATTATTGGATCGGAAAACCTTTCACCACCGAGGAAGTCATATTCTATCAGCTTATAAATAGTATTCTTTGTTTGCAATCACGTGACCTTTCATCCAAATGACGGGCAATCAAACAACTTGTGGATAATTTTTCTCCTATCGGAATGGTTGTAGCAAGAAAAACTAAACGGTAATTCATCTTTTGAATCTTGAATTGTCTCTAAACTCCTGAGTCGTCCCCAGTCGCTTACCCAACGTGCGCTGACAGACGCCGCGGGGCATTCCCATGGTCCTTTGCGTTATACTCAATTTTCACCGCATCAATACATTAAACTAGGTTACCCACAGGGCAGTAATGCTGCCTTTGACAGCAAAAGATAAACTACAGGGTGTTGAACGAGTCCTTCAGAAACATCCTATTATTGTTTAGCCTGCATGGCAGGCGGTTCCTAAAATTGGGCAAGCCTGGGAAATACCGCCTGCCATGCAGGCTAATTATTGTTATCCTTGTTAACCCATTTATTGACAGTACCCTACCACTGACTGAGTATTAAAAATCGTCTGCCGTTGGACAGGGTAAATACTAAAGTGGGGATCATTACTGTGCTGATGAATTAACAAGAGCCATTGGCAGATAGGTTTGTTAACCCATTTACTGGCAGTACCCTATACCACTGACGAGTAAAATCTTCTGGCGCTCGACAAGGGAAGGGTGCATTGCCAGCTAATGGGTTAAACCACTGTGGTTAAACATAAGATTTCATGATGCTCCAGGAAATGTAAACAAGCTATCAGTGTGACATCCCAGTTTATATATTTATATACTCGGAATATTTATTTCTCGGTACATACAAAATTATTTTAAAGTATAACAACCAGCGAAGACGTAAGGCACTAACTACCCTGCGCGGCTGCGCGCAGATTATATAACGACATATATGTCATCCGTCCGGTCCGTCCGTCATTCATCCGTCCGTCCGTATCCGCGTTTTATCCTAACCCGTTTTTAAAACACAAAGTTTGCATTTAATTAAGCATAATTAAGGCAGTGCGGTTCGTTATGATCAATATTTTCAAAAGCGGCCAATTAGACCAGGGGTTAAAGAGCAATGACAATGACATGCAGGTGACATTTAACATTGCGTCTCACTAATTAAAATTTGCGTGTTTATTAATAGTGTTTATCAAAGAAAGCAAAAATATATACAAGACAATCTCACATGTGGAGTTTTTTCACTCACAGTACGTACTGCCTTGTGATGCAGTACAAGTATAAATACAAATGACAAAGCATTTGTAAATCCTAAAACATAATTAAATCATACGGCACATTTAAGATTTTAATATCGTATTTCAGCCGCGTTTATACTGTTTGGCGCATTCGCTGCGTTATATTCATTTACATGTATATACACAGAAAAGCATGTCAGGATTGTCCTTGCAGACCATAGGCAAAAAGCATTTATCAACCATGCATATACATGTCATGATGGAAAGAATATGGAAATAATGTTGAATGATATATATATATATATATAAATGGTGAAAGCATCGCGTATAATACTGCAACCACCGCGTATAATGGCGAAAGCACCGTGTATAATGCCAAAAGCACCGCCGTATAATGCTAAAAGCACCCAACAAAATGCCGTTTGATCACTTTAAGCCAGCTATGGCTTTCCATTTAAGAAGACCAAAGATGAAACATGATCACATTGCTTGTTTGCCTTATGCCTGACCGCGCTGCACCACGGTTAAAATTCACTGGTACCGTCATGCAATGCGCCAAATAGAAAATTTTGATTTCGACCCACAAAACAAAATTAGGATCTGCTGCCTTGCTCGCTCGCTTCAGGCTCGCTCGCTGCGGCAGCAAATAGCCGTTTTTTGTTATACCTGCCCGTCAATTGAAATACCAAAATTACGTCATTTCAAACAAAGAATTTACAGTGAAGTATGTTTCTCGTATTATTTATAAGATTCTTTATATCTTGTAAAAGTTATATAATTTCAAATGAAATGTATATTCTCTGATTCCTTCATACAGGAAGTTTTCCAAGAACGCCCTCAGAAAATTCGGCAATTTGAAATAGATCACGCAATTTGCCGGATGGATCCTATATAAAAGAGTCGTATGGTACTATGAGCAGTTACTCATCAAAGTGGTTTGTTGGTTTAAATTGTGTCAACGTAGTTATCGCATACATCATTTGAGAAGATCCACAGAGAACAGCCTGAAAGTATGCAGTCGCTCAAGTTTATACTGTTGTTTGCTGCTTGTTTTTTGATTTTGAGCGGTATTTGAGTTCCAGACTTAATCAAACTACTGATCATAACTGTCCAACAACTATAGCTTTTCCTTGTGTTCATTCATTTACATTATTTAATGCATAGAACTTGATTCGCGGCAATCAGCGATGTCATAAATACAGCTGAAGAGCCAGAAAATGTTTTATGTAGGGTATCGTCGGAAAATTAAACTATATCTGTCCAACAACTATATAGCTTTTCTGTGCTTTCATTCTTTGAATTAGGGAGGTTTAGTTTTGACCATTCGTGTACGACAACGAGTACGAGATTTTCCTGGCAAAAGTATAGCCAACTTTTTGCTGACTTAATTATAGTATTGATTTTCTAAAATGTAGTTTTCAAATTATTTTCGCGCATGATCGTGCACTGACATTTGTACTAATCTCGCATAAATAATCTATCACTGAATCATTATTTGGTATTTTTTTCTTGTTTTGTTTCATTGGTATTTTTATATCTTCACGATCATTCATTTTAAAGGGAAATAGGATAGATATCTTATATACACTAGATAGTGCATCTAATTATTCTGCAATTCAAAAATTGAAGCCGTGATTGCAAACTCAGGATTTCCCATGAACTGGAGAAGAGTCATATGTTTTCTATTTCTTAAACAGGGAACTTAAACATTAAGTTAAAGCTATTCCAAATACATTTTCAAACTATTCAAATGATGAAAGTTATTGTTGTTTTTTAAGCGTTTATTAGCGAGTGGGAAACTCCAATATGGCCGCCATCTATTCAAATAGGGGTAACCGCTGGAATATTCTTGGCTTCAATTTTACTAAAAGAGATGCGCTATCTAGTGTATATAAGATATCTATGGGAAATAGGAATAAAAATTAAACCTCTCCCATTTGGAAGAGAGATTCAGTCAGCCTAGATCTAGGCCTTTACTCGGCTGGCTTTGGCAGGTATCTTTGGCAGGTTTGGTCAATTTCCGGCTAGCATTTGGCCAGTCCCAGTCTTTTCATGTGAAAAAGCGCTGAATATTAAAAAAATAATAAAAATAGAAGGCCTAGGTCTAGACTGAGATTCAATGTATTTCGAAACATTTTTACAAATATTCTTTATCGTTCTTGGTATATAAACGATATTACCTTCATTTCAAACAAAATCATTATGCATACCGCCATCTTGGATATGCATATGCATCGTTGGATACTCATTGAACTATAAGTTGGATATGCGGTGACGTCACCAGCAGGGAAACATTATTTTGCATCTTGAGAACAGGGCCGTAGGAAGCTTTTTTTGATTGGGGGGCTGAAAGCGAGGGGCGAAGGCCCGAGGAAATTTTTAAATTTAGAGTCTCTGAAATGCCATTTTTGGGACTTTGGGGAAGATTTGACAGAATTCTGATAGTCTGAAAACAGCGTTTTAGTATGTCGAAATTTACAATTCAGTAGTACTAAGTAGGCGAAGGCGTATTTAATTAACTATATATTGGATAAGTTGCAGGAAAGTATAGGTAATATCTTCATTCTTTGCAGTTTGTCATTGATTAAATGATAAAGGTCTGCATGATTTTGAAAAATGAATGATCATTAGCAAATTATTGGGGGTGCAGCCTCCCAGCCCTCCCCCGGTTGCTACGGCCCTGGAGAAATAAAGATGCTTTAAATTAAATCACAAGCTGTATTTATAAGCTTTCCACTGATATTATTTTTTTAATGGTTTTAAAATGTCTACCCAGGTTGTGACGTGATTTAATCAGATCTAATTGTAAAACAAGATGGCGAATGGCACAATGTTTTGGTCTCTCAAAAATGATAATAGTTTGGGAGAATTGTAAAACGATTTGTCTATAAGCTTAACAATTTTTTAAATTAGGTAAGCATAATTTTTGCCATTTTCGTTTAAGGAAACGATGTTGAAAGTTCCCCTGTTGCTTTTTGTGGTTCAAAACAGTATGATCCAAACCTTCTATGTTGCTGTGGTGGAGTGCTCACAGTCTGCGCATTCGAATCAGGCGATTCCAACTGTTCTGGTGGCGGGTGGCATTAAACTGAAGTAACATATATGGTGGCCATTCATGGATGGCCAAGAAATTAATGCCGAACATTACTAAGTAGCTTTACGTTTGAACATTGACTTGTCGAAGTCATACATTTTATAAAAAATAAAGGCAAATAACAAGAAAAAATTGTTTAATTAAATTTGTACATCTTTTGTGAAATGTAGCTTTGCGAAAATTCTGAGTAGTAGAATTTCAATTGCTCTACATCAGTTTTGCTTGATATGCGTGACCATCTCACGCAAAAAGTTGAGAACAATAGTTGTTTTTGACATTTAGGCGCGGTCACAATTTTGGATATAGATTCATGTCTCGCTGTTTATGAGTTAGGATTAGCGGTTAGGGTCAGGGTGAGGATTAACATTCATAAATAGTGAAACATGAATCCATAACCACCATTTTAATATCAAAAACCTCTGATCAGAAACGTCACGTTGCGGCTATTTATAGAATAATTTGACACATTTAAAAACCACTTCTCATCGAAATATTCAGGCTTCAAAATTGGCTCATTGAATTCAACTGCATTCGTCCTGTATTCAACGTCCTATAGTTTTCATGCAAATGAGCGAGTAACACCCAGTGAACTCTTTATAGACTGGAGTGATAACTTCAGGTAAACGGCCCTATGATTGGGTGAAGTCATGCAACATGGCGGCCAAAAGGGTGATCTCTTGTGGGCAAAAAAACAAGCGTGTAGCTCGCGGGCTTCGCGGGAGTTAAACCCCAAATCAACTTATTTTGATCAAAAGCAGCGTGTATTCCGCCATCTTGAATATGCATACGTCACAAGTAGGGTAAAAAGGGAAATTATTATCTTGGAAACTACATGTTACTATCAATATGAAACTCACTTTAAGAAACCTTTTGAAGAAATTTATGCCCAATTGAAGTGGTTTTAACAAGTTTACTCTGATTGTGACGTCATCAAAAACTCATGCCGTTAAGTAGGTCAATTATAATACCAAGATGGCGGACTGCACACTGATTTTGGTAAAAATATTTCAAAAACCAAGCAAGGTACGAAAAAGTTGTAAAAAGTCTTAATATATAACTTTAAAAGTTATTTCAAATATAAATACAAAGTTAATTTTTATTGCCATATCACTTTAATAATTCCTATGCCTAGTTACTATATATTGAGAATTCTCCCAGTTTATGCAAGCATAGAACAGCACAAAGCTAGGTACCGTATGTCCGTATCTATATATAGACGACAGGATTATTGACAAAAGTGAATAACTGCATGTTATACTTAACAAATAGATAAGATTTTGCCGTTGTCTGTTCAGTTATAGCAGGCATTAAAATAGCGTGTTCTTGTACACACTTTGTGTCCTTGTAAAAGGCGAATGTGCCCTTGTAAATTGAAAAGTGTGTACTTGAAAATATATTAAACTGAAAATATATTAATGTAATCCAAGCAAAATGGCCATAGAATTTGCAAATTCTGTTCTCAGAACTCTGGAAATGCTATTTCAGAGACCCCCTTAAAAGCTCGCGTCTTCGACGCTAAACTTGTGGGTTCGCCACTCGTTCTCGTGAGTCTGCGCATTTATACCAAAAATACGCCTCTGAAGGCAGTGTGTCCTTGTAAAAATTCCGTATTTTAATGCCCGAGTTATAGATCCACAGTATGACATATAATATATAATGTGGGCTAAGAACAAAATGAAAATATATAATAAAAAGAAAACTCCCGAATTAAACAGGTGAATAACTTATATATAGATTTAAAATACTCATTAAAAATTCATAAACCTTGTGGCAAATCATGTCAGCCATAATATGTCACGTGGAGTGACTTTATATCTGATAAAACACATGTGGCATTATATAATTGTTCATCTTAATTAGCATGATTATACTATGGTTCATCCTAATTAGTATTCTTTTGTAGTCGTATTTTAAGCTATTCAAAACACTCTTTGTCGTGTTTTATCAGATATATAACGCTCGGCTGCGCCTCGCGTTATATATCTGATAAAACACTCCTACTCGTGTTTTAAATAGTACATATATGATATAACTCAATGTCTATATTTGGTAAATATAAGGAGAAAATGTTCTCGAGTGAGATATACAGCTAATTCAATTAAGGTTGTCCTTCCAAAACTTTAAACCTTAAACTCTGAGCGCACAAGGGAGATGGATTTTCACCTATTAGGCCCTATTTAGGGCCAAGTATGTTTTCTGTCGTGAGTCTTCTACAGTATATGTCTTGCAAAGCCAAACTTCAAAGTTTATGAGTCTAAATAAGCAATAACCCAACATTCCTTGCGCGTTAAGAGCTCAAGTATTTAGAAGGACAACCTTAAGGGGCAGTGTCACGGCGCTGATTGGCTGAAATAAACGGCGCAAAGAAACGTTTAAAATTAATGCTACATGAATGGAAAAGATGCAGCTGCCTTCAATTTTTAAAACAAAGCAAGGATATCCTGCATAATGAAGGATTATGAATAGTATATCGTATTTCACTCCTAACTTGATTAATTGTTGGAATTAAGACAGTTTTTCAAGTTCGCGCATATTTTGGATGCGCAGTAGAACCGTGACACTGCCCCTTTAATTGAATTAGCTGTATCATAATTTCCAGACAGCAAACATTGAGAACATTTTCTCCTAATATCATATTACCAAGTGCACAATAACACAATGTTTCGCATTGGAAGTTCCGGTGTTCTTCATAATCGCCGAGATGGACCTATTCACCGGTAATGGTATCACGATTCATATATGTATAGAAAGTCAAAACCATATTAATATAGTACGCAAACCCTATATAATAATCAATACTGTCAACTTATATAAATGTCGTTTAATTACACAGATGATTCGTATTGCATTACGTTCTCATACGCAGTCTCCTGTTCACGGTCAACGGTGTCATTACTCTTGTCTTGAATAATCAAAACTGTCCTAGCTAGTTTTGGATCCTCAAGAGTTCGTTCTTCGACAATGTATTTCACATTTAATTTCATTTTTTCAAGCCATGCTTTTTTTCTTGCTTCGCTTGTGTTAAATTTTTCCATATTGAATATATACGGCACGATACTGATGCTCACTGTTATCAAAACCTGAACGACAGCGCTGATTTTTAATGCATGGAGTGTATTGACCAGCTCAAAAATACCATAGGCGAATATCGACAACATCAACACTTTCAAACTGAAATAAAATAAGTTTGTATGATAGGGTAAAAGTTCCTCTCTTATTTTATCATAAAGCTCTCTGGACACCACCGGTAAAACGTTTTCCTTTTGTTTGGGATGTCTGTTTGGAATGCAGCCATTATTGACGCGTTGTATGTCTCGACACTTTTCGTAAATTAACTGTTTTAATACAAAGTATTTCTCTTCCACAGACTTCCAATAACTATAGCCGTGAAATGTTAAGACTGAAAAAGATGCGAGATAGGGAATAAAGTAGACAAGGTTAAGGAATATTCCGAGCAGTAAAGATTGCAATGCCAATATCAATATGTAACAGGCCCAAGTTCCACCGACAAGAATCCCGCACATGGACACGACTTGGAAAAGACGCCAGTTATTAAAGCCATATAACACTGCCATTGAAAGGACGAAGATTTTGTATATAAGGTATAGATACAATAAAACAATGCTCCAGAGAAAGCGAAGAGAAACATAAAAAACACAAATTAAACAAGCCAAGATCATTGTCAGGATAATTGATTGTGGAAAATAAAAAATACCAGAAAATTGAAACCTATTGCACAACTCCCCTATTTTTTTCATCCAATGTTTTTCGTTAAATGGCAAAGTTAACATCGCGATTACAACTTCAAATTCTTCACTTTCATCTTTTTGGCGTAATATCTGTTCACTATAACCCATCCAAGATACCATTTGGTGAATGAAAAAAAAGTCAGCTATTCCCGCTATGCTAGTGATGGAGCCGTGGGGGATAGCACTTGGTAATGTTGGTGGTGTCATTAGAATTAATATGAGCGAGAAAGTGGGCGGGAAAAGGTATAAAGAAGGTACAAAATTAAATATCATCCTTAGTTTAATATTTACATTTAAGCACATAAACAATAGTAAAATAGACAGTACTGCTAGGGCTCGGACGCAATACGCAAAGGCCCCCTGTTGTTTCCACATAATTCTCAGCACAATAGAAGACGGCGACATGGTACTTTCCTCCAGCTTATAATACTTCGAATATCTAATATCAAACAAACGATAAGATAGCAGATGGAATAACAACTTTAAATAATAGAGAGGTAAAATCACGAACATAATAGCGGTGAAAATGGTCGAATATAACTTCGTATGTAGAAATGCATTTGTTTCTAGACATTGAAATTTTAATGATCCAGTGAAATCATATTCAGTTATCTGACAGCACAAGTATAACGGTCGCGGGTCATTTTGATGGGCTTTATACCCAAAATAACAGATTTCGTTACTTATCGGCTGTTTCGTGAGCAGAAATATTTGTTGAAATATTCCTCCGACTATCAATTTATCCATAAACATTTGATCATTACTAGGGAAAATGCATCTTTTACCAGTTTTGTTGACGTGTAATTTAAGGTTTCTTCGACCAGCGTTCAAAGCCATTTTTACAAACAGCGGCAACATTACATGAAACGCGTGGACAATTTCCCGACCAATGGGAGTCACTAATGAGAACTTCCAGAATGTTGTCGTAAATATACAATTTCTCTCCTTGTTAATATAGAAGATTTCAAAATCCACTATGTTAACTGCGTCATTTTTCATAAATTGAATGATCTGCATAACTTCACTCCATTTCATATCAAGAGCGCAATCTTCGAGAACAGGATATGAAGTGTTAGTCATCGTAGTAGGAAATTCAGTGTTGTTGCTCTGCATACCCGAGTTACCTTCGCTATGAATTGTGTCGTCGTTTGAAGGAACCGACATGGCAAAAGACATAAGCCAACAGTAAATGAAGATGACAGAGAACATATTGATGATTTGATGCCAATATACCATCCTCGCGATAGTCGCTATTCTCAATTGAATTCTACCATGCAACGATGCGAATTGTGCTGTGTCATAGAGCGTCTCTCAAGTTTTAAACATAACCGATAAAAACATAATTAACATAAAAATGTGCCAAGGTATGCGGGTTTTTTGCTATTGAAATAATAATTGCACCTACAACTGCGAACAATGCACAAACATCAGTATATCACCACTTGTTTTTTACAACAGATAAACTTTTAACATTAAAGCGATGTAAATAATATTAGTATGAGTGCATGTATATCCCTATAAATATCCAGTTTTATTACACTGAATTATAATTTTCATTTTAGCCCTTAACAAAATATTCAATATGAATTTTGCCATCGCATGTTTATCTGCAGGGTGCCTGAGAATGGATCCTTGATTTATTATAGTTATATTTAGATCTATGCAGTGTTGTAACGAGTCGAGTCATTGACTCTGACTCGAGTCAACTCGAGTCGCTATTTTCAGCGACTCGACTCGAGTCCAATACGAAAAATGACTCGACTCGAGTCAACAGCCCCAAATGACTCGACTCGGACTCGATTTGCTGATTTTGCCTTAAATGACTCGAGTCAACTAAGCTACAACTTGTACAGAATAAATTCATCACAATTATTGTGATTGTATTGCTTGGAAAGAACAATGAGCCCTGTGAACAATGAGAACTTCGAAACTTTATCAGAAAATATATGGGATTTGCATAGAATATATTCCTGACGGGCATACCTATATTACATTTCTGTTTTTAGAAACAACGCTAGTGCCAC